CATCACTCACCCATCACTCACCCAGCCACCCTTACCACCCACTCACTCACCACCCTCACCACCCACTCACACCACCCTCACCACTCACCGCCTGTGAGAACACACACACCACTCACTCACCACTCACTCACTCACCACCCTCACCACTCACTCACTCACCCACTCACCCACTCACTCACTCACCCACTCACTCACCCAGCCACCCTTACCACCCACTCACTCACCACCCTCACCACCCACTCACACCACCCTCACCACTCACCGCCTGTGAGAACACACACACCACTCACTCACCACTCACTCACTCACCACCCTCACCACTCACTCACTCACCCACTCACCCACTCACTCACTCACCCACTCACTCACCCAGCCACCCTTACCACCCACTCACTCACCCACTCACCCACTCACTCACCCACTCACTCACTCACCACCCTCACCACTCACCCACTCACTCACTCACCACTCACTCACCCACTCACTCACTCACCACTCACCCACTCACTCACTAACCACCCGCACCACTCACCGCCTGTGAGAACACACACACCACTCACTCACCACTCACTCACCACCCTCACCACTCACTCACTCACCACCCCACTCACTCACTCACCCACTCACCCACTCACCCCACTCACCCACTCACTCACCCAGCCACCCTTACCACCCACTCACTCACCACCCTCACCACCCACTCACACCACCCTCACCACTCACCGCCTGTGAGAACACACACACCACTCACTCACTCACCACCCTCACCACTCACCGCCTGCGAGAACACACACACCACTCACTCACCACTCACTCACTCACCACCCTCACCACTCACCGCCTGCGAGAACACACACACACTCACTCACTCACCACCCTCACCACTCACCGCCTGTGAGAACACACACACCACTCACTCACCACTCACTCACTCACCACCCTCACCACTCACCGCCTGTGAGAACACACACACCACTCACTCACCACCCTCACCACTCACTCACACACTCACCCACTCACTCACGACCCTCACCACTCACCGCCTGCGAGAACACACACACCACTCACTCACCACTCACTCACTCACCACCCTCACCACCCACTCACTCACTCACCCACTCACCCACTCACTCACTCACCCACTCACTCACCCAGCCACCCTTACCACCCACTCACTCACCACCCTCACCACCCACTCACTCACCACCCTCACCACTCACCACCTGTGAGAACACACACACCACTCACTCACCACTCACTCACTCACCACCCTCACCACTCACTCACTCACCCACTCACCCACTCACTCACTCACCCACTCACTCACCCAGCCACCCTTACCACCCACTCACTCACCACCCTCACCACCCACTCACACCACCCTCACCACTCACCGCCTGTGAGAACACACACACCACTCACTCACCACTCACTCACTCACCACCCTCACCACTCACTCACTCACCCACTCACCCACTCACTCACTCACCCACTCATTCACCCAGCCACCCTTACCACCCACTCACTCACCCACTCACCCACTCACTCACCCACTCACTCACTCACCACCCTCACCACTCACCCCACTCACTCACTCACCACTCACTCACCCACTCACTCACCCACTCACTCACTCACCACTCACCCACTCACTCACTAACCACCCGCACCACTCACCGCCTGTGAGAACACACACACCACTCACTCACCACTCACTCACTCACTCACCCTCACCACTCACTCACTCACTCACTCACCCACTCACCCACTCACTCACTCACCCACTCACTCACCCAGCCACCCTTACCACCCACTCACTCACCACCCTCACCACCCACTCACTCACCACCCTCACCACTCACCGCCTGCGAGAACACACACACCACTCACTCACCACTCACTCACTCACCACCCTCACCACTCACTCACTCACTCACCCACTCACCCACTCACTCACTCACCCACTCACTCACCCAGCCACCCTTACCACCCACTCACTCACCACCCTCACCACCCACTCACTCACCACCCTCACCACTCACCGCCTGTGAGAACACACACACCACTCACTCACCACTCACTCACTCACCACCCTCACCACTCACTCACTCACCCACTCACCCACTCACTCACTCACCCACTCACTCACCCAGCCACCCTTACCACCCACTCACTCACCACCCTCACCACCCACTCACACCACCCTCACCACTCACCGCCTGTGAGAACACACACACCACTCACTCACCACTCACTCACTCACCACCCTCACCACTCACTCACTCACCCACTCACCCACTCACTCACTCACCCACTCACTCACCCAGCCACCCTTACCACCCACTCACTCACCACCCTCACCACCCACTCACACCACCCTCACCACTCACCGCCTGTGAGAACACACACACCACTCACTCACCACTCACTCACTCACCACCCTCACCACTCACTCACTCACCCACTCACCCACTCACTCACTCACCCACTCACTCACCCAGCCACCCTTACCACCCACTCACCCACCCACTCACTCACCCACTCACCCACTCACTCACCCACTCACTCACTCACCACCCTCACCACTCACCCACTCACTCACTCACCACTCACTCACCCACTCACTCACTCACCACTCACCCACTCACTCACTAACCACCCGCACCACTCACCGCCTGTGAGAACACACACACCACTCACTCACCACTCACTCACCACCCTCACCACTCACTCACTCACCACCCACTCACTCACTCACCCACTCACCCACTCACCCACTCACCCACTCACTCACCCAGCCACCCTTACCACCCACTCACTCACCACCCTCACCACCCACTCACACCACCCTCACCACTCACCGCCTGTGAGAACACACACACCACTCACTCACTCACCACCCTCACCACTCACCGCCTGTGAGAACACACACACCACTCACTCACCACTCACTCACTCACCACCCTCACCACTCACCGCCTGTGAGAACACACACACCACTCACTCACTCACCACCCTCACCACTCACCGCCTGTGAGAACACACACACCACTCACTCACCACTCACTCACTCACCACCCTCACCACTCACCGCCTGTGAGAACACACACACCACTCACTCACCACCCTCACCACTCACTCACACACTCACCCACTCACTCACCACCCTCACCACTCACCGCCTGCGAGAACACACACACCACTCACTCACCACTCACTCACTCACCACCCTCACCACCCACTCACTCACTCACCCACTCACCCACTCACTCACCCACTCACTCACCCAGCCACCCTTACCACCCACTCACTCACCACCCTCACCACCCACTCACTCACCACCCTCACCACTCACCACCTGTGAGAACACACACACCACTCACTCACCACTCACTCACTCACCACCCTCACCACTCACTCACCCACTCACCCACTCACTCACTCACCCACTCACTCACCCAGCCACCCTTACCACCCACTCACTCACCACCCTCACCACCCACTCACACCACCCTCACCACTCACCGCCTGTGAGAACACACACACCACTCACTCACCACTCACTCACTCACCACCCTCACCACTCACTCACTCACCCACTCACCCACTCACTCACTCACCCACTCACTCACCCAGCCACCCTTACCACCCACTCACTCACCCACTCACCCACTCACTCACCCACTCACTCACTCACCACCCTCACCACTCACCCACTCACTCACTCACCACTCACTCACCCACTCACTCACCCACTCACTCACTCACCACTCACCCACTCACTCACTAACCACCCGCACCACTCACCGCCTGTGAGAACACACACACCACTCACTCACCACTCACTCACCACCCTCACCACTCACTCACTCACCACCCACTCACTCACTCACCCACTCACCCACTCACTCACTCACCCACTCACCCACTCACTCACCCAGCCACCCTTACCACCCACTCACTCACCACCCTCACCACCCACTCACTCACCACCCTCACCACTCACCGCCTGTGAGAACACACACCACTCACTCACCACTCACTCACTCACCACCCTCACCACTCACCCACTCACTCACTCACTCACCCACCCAGCCACTCACCCACCCACCCAGTCACTCACCCACCCAGCCACTCACTCACCCACCCACCCAGCCACTCACTCACCCACCCACCCAGCCACTCACCCACCCACCCAGCCACTCACCCACTCACTCACTCACTCACCCACCCACCCAGCCACTCACCCACCCACTCACCCACCTACCCACTCACTCACTCACTCAACCACTGTGCGTGTGTGTGTGTGCGTGTGTGTGTCTGTGTGTGTCTGTGTGTCTGTGTGTGTGTGTGTCTGTGTGTGTGTGTGTGTGTGTCTGTGTGTGTGTGTCTGTGTGTGTGTGTGTGTCTGTGTGTGTGTCTGTGTGTGTGTGTGTGTGTCTGTGTGTGTGTCTGTGTCTGTGTGTGTGTGTCTGTGTGTGTGTATGTGTGTGTTACCTGTAGGTGTTGCGGCAGGCTGTGTGCAGCGTGGTGCAGCAGCTGCACAGTAGGAGGCTGGTGACACAGCAGTGTGTGTGTGTGTGTCTGTGTGTGTGTCTGTGTGTGTGTGTGTCTGTGTGTGTGTGTCTGTGTGTGTGTGTCTGTGTGTGTGTGTGTGTCTGTGTGTGTGTGTCTGTGTGTGTGTGTGTGTCTGTGTGTGTGTCTGTGTGTGTGTGTCTGTGTGTGTGTGTGTGTCTGTGTGTGTCTGTGTCTGTGTGTGTGTCACTGTGTGTGTTACCTGTAGGTGTTGAGGCAGGCTGTGTGCAGCGTGGTGCAGCAGCTGCACAGTGGGCGGCTGGTGGCACAGCAGCACGAGGCGAAGGCGCTGGTCTCCGCGCAGGAGAAGACCCTTAGCCACCAGTCCCACTCGCACCACGCTACGCAGGGAGCCACCACCACCACCACCAACACCACCACCACCAACACCACCACCACCAACACCACCAACACCACCAACACCACCAACACCACCACCACCACCACCTACACCACCACCAACACCACCAACAACACCACCACCCACACCACCACCAACACCACCACCACCACCACCAACACCACCACCACCACCACCTACACCACCACCAACACCACCACCCACACCACCACCCACACCACCACCAACACCACCACCACCACCACCTACACCACCCACTACACCACCAACACCACCAACAACACCACCACCCACACCACCACCACCACCACCAACACCACCACCAACACCACCACCACCCACACCACCACCACCCACACCACCACCACCAACACCACCACCACCACCACCACCACCCACTGCTCCTCCTGCTACTCCTGCTGCTGCTGCTGCTGCTACTCCTGCTGCTGCTGCTGCTGGTGGTGGTGCTGCTGCTGCTGCACCAGCATCACTACAAGGGGAGGAGAGGGAGGGAGGGGAGGAGTATGTGTGTCTGTGTGTGTGCGTGACTGTTTGTGTGTGTGTGTGACTATGCGTGTGTGTGTCTGTGTGACTGTGTGTGTTTAAGTGCGTGTGTGTGTCTATGTGTGTGTGTCTGTGTGACTGTGTGTGTTTAAGTGCGTGTGTGTGTCTATGTGTGTGTGTCTGTGTGACTGTGTGTGTTTAAGTGCGTGTGTGTGTCTATGTGTGTGTGTCTGTGTGACTGTGTGTGTGTCTGTGTGTGTCTGTGTGTCTGTGTGTGTGGAGGAGGCTCGTGAAGGACGCTACTGGGCAGTTGGAGGCAGTCGCCCTCCAACAACAACGGAGGGCGGAGGAGCGACGCTCACAACAACGAGCGGAGCGCCGGGTGGCTAAAGCACAGCAAGTTGGCACAGTAGGGGGCACAGGTGGTGCATCAGCCAGTCATCTCGGTCATCTCGGTCAGTCGACCCGTGGCACCTGCTGGGTCTGCCCCGTGACCTCCTGCCAGCGGGCGTTCGACACTTCACGTGGTAGCCTCAAGGTGCACTTGGCCTGGCACAAGCGTCGTGGTGACGTCACCGCCACTTAGTGGCGAATGGCGGTTGTTGTTGTGTGTGTGTTTAAGTGCGTGTGTGTGTCGATGTGTGTGTGTGTGTCTGTGTGTGTGTCTGTGTGTGTGTGTGTCTGTGTGTGTATCTGTGTGTGTGTGTGTGTCGATGTGTGTGTGTGTGTTTAAGTGCGTGTGTGTGTGTGTGTGTGTCTGTGTGTGTGTGTGTCTATGTGTGTGTGTGTGTGTGTCTGTGTGTGTGTCTATGTGTGTGTGTGTGTGTCTGTGTGTGTGTGTGTGTGTCGATGTGTGTGTGTGTGTTTAAGTGCGTGTGTGTGTGTGTGTGCACTTGGCCTGGCACAAGCATCGTGGTGACGTCACCGCCACTTAGTGGCGAATGGCGGTTGTTGTTGTTGTTGTTGTCTGTGTGTGTGTGTGTCTATCTGTGTGTGTGTGTGTGTGTCTGTGTGTGTGTGTGTGTCTGTGTGTGTGTGTGTCTCTACCTGTGCAGCGAGTCTGCGAGGCGCTTGAGCGCTCTCTCACAGGTGGACACCAGCGACTGAGCCGCCTCTAACTCCGCCAGAGTCGGGTAGACGCTGGCATGGCGGGCGATCACGTGACGGTCCTCCAGCACAAACATCCTGACGGGCCGCTGTGTACACACACACAGAGACACACACATAGACACACACAGATAGACGCTGGCATGGCGGGCGATCACGTGACGGTCCTCCAGCACAAACATCCTGACGGGCCTCTGTGTACACACACACAGAGACACACACACAGACACACACACAGATAGACGCTGGCATGGCGGGCGATCACGTGACGGTCCTCAAGCACAAACATCCTGACGGGCCTCTGTGTACACACACACAGAGACACACACATAGACACACACAGAGACACACACAGAGACACACACACAGATAGACGCTGGCGTGGCGGGCGATCACGTGACGGTCCTCAAGCACAAACATCCTGACGGGCCTCTGTGTACACACACACAGAGACACACACATAGACACACACAGAGACACACACAGAGACACACACACAGATAGACGCTGGCATGGCGGGCGATCACGTGACGGTCCTCCAGCACAAACATCCTGACGGGCCTCTGTGTACACACACACAGAGACACACACACAGACACACACACAGATAGACGCTGGCATGGCGGGCGATCACGTGACGGTCCTCAAGCACAAACATCCTGACGGGGCGCTGTGTGGATAGACACAGAGACACGGTGAGACACACACAGAGACACACACAGAGACACACACAGAGACACACACAGAGACACGGTGAGACACACACACAGACACACACACAGATAGACGCTGGCATGGCGGGCGATCACGTGACGGTCCTCAAGCACAAACATCCTGACGGGCC